GCCCCGCACCCTCTCCCCACCACCTTTTAGAGGAATGTTTTCTCCCCACCGACGCCCCCTTCTCCATAAGACACCTAAAAAGTCTTCCTTTCGAGGGCCAGTGAAATGGTTCAACAGAAAAAGGGGCCTTGCTGGCACAAGCCAGACAACCTAAGATTCAGCCCCCAGAAACTACGGTGGAAAGATAAAACCTCTCTTGAAAGGTGTCCTCTGACCTCCAATGTGCTCCACAGCACATACATGTGCACCTGCGTTCACACAAATACTCACGCAATGAAAAAAATTAAAGTTGTCATGGACCAGCAAGATGCCTCAGGCTGCACAAGCCTGTCACCCTGAATCTGATCTCCAGAAGCCGCATCAAGATAGAAGGAGAGCTCCAGTTCCATAAGGTTGTCCTCTGACCTCTACACATGTGCCATGGCATGCATTTTGGCCACCACATATCATGTGCATGCACATATACACACAATATGATGATGATGATGATGATGATGATGATGATGATGATAAAGGAAATCTAAAAGAGAAAGATCTACCCTTCAAGGACTGAACTCTATGGCCAAGAAAAATAAGTCTACCAGTACATACTTTCCTTGATGCCTAGAGTTGCCCATGGATTAAGCAGCTTCAAGCTCCGGCATCACATATATAGCTCCTGATGAGGCACTTTGATGAGTCTTCTTCATCCTTGCTAGTTTTTTATTGGCAACTCGACATAGACTAGAGTTACCTGGGAAGAAGGAAACTCAATTAAAGAATTGCCTCCATCAGACTGGCCTGTGACCAACCAAGTCTGTAAGAGGTTGTCTTGATTGGTGATTGACATGGGAAGGCCCAACCCATTATAGATGGTACCATCTCTGGGCTGTATAAGAAAACTATCTGGGCTGCAAAAGATAATGCAGTGGTTAAGGGCACTGGCTGCTTTCCTGGAGAGCTAGAGTTCAATTTCCAGCATCTACATGCAGACTCACAACTGTCTGTAACTCCAGTCTCGGGAGACCTGTTGGCCTTTTCTAGCCTTGCAGGCAGATAGCTCACAGACACACATGGAGGCAAAGCATCCACCCACATAAAATAAAAGTAAACTTAAATTTAAAAAAAGAAAGCTATCCGAACAAGCCGGAGTGTGAGCCAGTAAAGAGTATTCCTCCATGGTTCCCACCTGGAGTTCCTGCCCCGACTTCCCTCAGATGAATGCATTCCTCCCAAGTTGCCTTCAGCCGCGGGTTTTATATCACAGTAACCAAAAAGAAATGAGAATACTCCAAACTTGCCCTTGACTCTCTTCAAGCGTATCTTGTCCTGTTTAATAAACTCACTAACTGCTTCACTTTCGCTCATGCTGGAGTTCTTTTCTAGGGCCTGTCTGCTCTAAGTAGCACCCCCTTCTCTATGGAGGCCAAGGGGGTTACCTCAAGAGTTCGCTTCCTGCTCCCAGTGACAGAAGAATTTCAGGAAATGGACAGGAGAGGACGGTGTCCTGTGCCAGCTACAGCCGCAGGCTAAGCATGGAGCTGGGAACACCAGTCCTGTTAGCCGGGTCCTGAGAGATAAAGAGCAGCCCAAGAAAATAAATGCTGGCAGACGCTTTGGCCTGAGCACAGGAGAGGCAGGGGAGCAGTGCGGGTCCCGTCCCGCAGGAGCTCTGCCTCCTCTACTGAGAGCATTCTTCTAGTCTTCTTCCTCACCTGCCCATCCTCAGTCTGCAGCTCCCCAGTGTGAGGTTTTCCTCTCCTGGCCCTTGTTACACAGTAACCGATTCATGACTCATCGCTCTTTGCTACCGTCTCTTGACAATGTTTTTTTCTCCACAGGGTGAAGAAATACGCGGACAGCCCCTATCAGGGGTGCTCCCAACTCATCACATCACCATGTGCTGCTGTCAGCTACACAGGCTGAGCTCAAACAGCTGCATGATGGAGTCACAAACAAGCATGCGGACGCGGTTAAGAAACATCAGGCTCTGTGTCGGGTGACGTTAGAGCTAGCCTGGGGCACATGTCAGAATCTTGTTCACTGCTGAGGGAGCTTGGTTTCAGTCACCTGGTCAGCAACCTTGTAAAGACAGCGCGCTTCATGTTCACCACCGTGCGGGGGGCCCCAGCTTTCCTCAGACTCGGTGTGTGAACCCACCTACTGTTGTTTGTGAGAAGTCAGCGCTGCCTGTCGGGGGTCTGGTAATGAGAGAGGGAGGGAGGGGGAGACAGACAGACAGACAGATTGAGATTGTGGTGGGTGAGGAGGATGGGTAAACAGGAGGACCTCCAAACAGGTCTCAGCCAGCCTGCGGCTGGAGAGAGACGTGGGGCTGAAGATTCTGACACACCCCCCACTGGGGTCCTTGTTGTATACTGGGGAGCAGGAAGTTCCACCTTGGGACCCTTGAGGCTGAAGTGAGCCAGGCTGTCCAGTACCCTTTTGGCAATCCAGGCCCAGCATCGGGGTGGAGGGGGGAAGCGGACTGCCGCTGAGCCAGTCCAGAACAGGATGGAACATCGCTGTTTTGGGGTCTCTTAGCCGGGACTTAGCCAGCTCGTGACTGGCTCTGGGCTACTGACTCAGGGGATGGGAGCAGGGCGTGTCTGCTCGAAAGTCCTGACTGAGGGGATGTTGTGAGTGGGACCCCCACCTCAGGCAGCTCCTCCATCATCCTCACCCTCCCACGCCTGAATCGGCCCACACGGTGGCCTTGGAGGACATGGCCTAGGATGAATTCACGTTCTGCTGCGGTCCGCTGGCCTGCCACGCCTGGGCGGCCTGCGGTGGCCAAGCCTGCCTTGTAGAGGGATTCAATGGGATCCTGGCTCCCCCTAGTGGCTCCTCTTGAGAAAGATCTGTGTCCCCAGTGAGGTCTGCGATTTCCTGGAGAGACCCACAGTCTCTCCCCAGGACCACAGTTCTTTTTTTTTTGGTTTTTTGAGACAGGGTTTCTCTGTGTAGCTTTGCGCCTTTCCTGGAGCTCACTTGGTAGCCCAGGCTGGCCTCGAACTCACAGAGATCCGCCTGGCTCTGCCTCCCGAGTGCTGGGATTAAAGGCGTGCGCCACCACCGCCCGGCTTAGGACCACAGTTCTTAAAGCCTAGCTTAGCCCAATCAAGTCTCTTCACACTCGGGGGGATCTCCCTGGGAAGGCGGTCCTTGCTCTAGACTAGGGCTACTTAAACTTTTCCACTGTGACACCTTTCCACTCAGGAAGAAATTTAAATTCTACTGGCTTTTTTTAAAAAAAAAAGTTAGATCTCTCTCTCTCTCTCTCTCGATCTCTCTCTCTCTCTCTCTCTCTCTCTCTCTCTCTCTCTCTCTCTCTCTCTCTCTCTCTCTCTCTCTCTCTCCAGGGTTTTTCTATATAGCTCTAACTGTCCAGGAACTTGCTATGTAGACCAGCCTTGCCTTGAACTCACAGAAATCCTCCTGCCCCTGCCTCCTGAATGCTGGGATTAAAGGCATGCACCACCACCGCCCAGCAGAGCACTTATAATTAATTTATCTTGCTTTATGTGTATATCTGTGTATCATGTGCATGCCTTGTGCACTCAGACCAGACGCGGATCCCCTGGGGCTGGAGTTACAAATGATTCCACCATGTGCCTGTTCAGAACTGGACCTGGGTCCTCTGCATGAGTAGCAAGTGTTCTTAACCACTGAGTCACCTCCCTCATTCCTAATGATTTTTAAAAATACTTATTTTGTTTGTGTGTGTGTGTGTGTGTGTGTGTGTGTGCGCGCGCGCGCAGGTGCCTACAGATGTCAAAAGAGAGTGTCAGATCCCCTGGAGCTGGAGTTTCATGGGTTCTAGGAACCAAACTCTGTCCTCTGCATAAGCAATATAGGCTTTGAATCACTGAACCATCTCTCTATCCCATTGATAATAACATTTTTATTAAATGCAAGTCAGCAACTCAAACTCTCTTTCTCAAATAGCAGTTTTTAAAACCAAACATCCTGCAGCTGGGCATAGTGGCATACACCTTTAACCCCACACCCAGGAGACAGAGTCAGGCAGATCTCTATGAGTTCAAGGCCATCCTGGTCTACATAGTGAGGTCCAGAACAGCCAGAGCTACATAGTGAGACCCTGTTTTGAAAAATAAATAAATAAAGCAAGTAAGCAAATAAAACCAAACATTCTAAAACAATAAATCCAAAGATTCACTAATTTATTACTTATACACTAAGGAATGGGAAGTAGGAAAATGTTAAAAGATTCTGTTTTTTATGGCTAAGCATTTCAATCTTTAACATACAATAGTATATAATTCTAGCTGAGGTTTCAGACATCAATCTTTGGTGCTCCATGGCTACAGGGCAAAGCGCATGGGCTGTGTTCTCAGAACCAAGGCAGCAGTCAGGTTCCACAACCAACACTGACAAACCCTGCCAGGTACACCTCGGATTCAGTATGCATTTGATTTAGAATTAGGGTGTGTGTGTGTGGGGGGGGGTTGTCTCTATGTCTGTCTGTGAACCATGTGTGTATGCCTGGTGCCTACCGAGGCCAGAAGGAGGTGTTGGATTCCCTGGGACTTGTGAGCCACCATGTGGGTGCTGAAAATAGAACCCAGTTCCTTTACAAGAGCATGCAGTGCGATTAACCACTGAGAAATCTCTCCAGTCCCTTGAATTAATTTTAGGTTGTTACCTATTCAGAAACCATTTAGCGTTGCCAAATTTCCTGCTCCCCTTACCCCCACAACACACATTCAGTTACAGGACATGGAATTGCAACCCATTTTAAGGAGGCTGTGGTCTAAAAGCAGACAGGGCACATCCATGGGTATTTCCTCCAGAGGGCGCTCTGCTCACAGATGTCTGACTCCCTCATCTTGCGTCGAGGCTTTCATCTTGAATAAACCCAGTTTCTGGATCAGTATCACTAGATAACCATCTGTCACCAACATCTTTTAAGAGTTCATGGAACCTGGGGACCTCCTGGATGACTTTTTTGTTTGATCCTGCCTATCTTTTCTTCCTGCTTGAGCCCTGTGTGCAGCAGGTCTTAAGGCAGATTGCTTAACCGATGGCGTTTGCAGGGTTGTGTTGCACACATGGTCTTCCTTGGCCCCGCCTACAGCACCACCCAGCCCATACTCTGACTGTCATTCCTATGGCTATTGCACCTTTCTGCTCCTGTGAGGGCTTGTGTATGGGGCAGACAGAAACCGATTCATCTCGATGTTCCCTGGGAGGAAGCACACCTGCTGTGGCTATCGTTTTGTATAAATAAAAAACTGATTGGCCAGTGGCCAGGCAGGAAGTATAGGCGGGACAAGGAGAGAGGAGAATTCTGGGAAGTGGAAGGCTGAGAGGGTGAGAAACTGCCAGCCCCCGCCATGACCAGCAGCATGTGAAGACACCGGTAAGTCATGAGCCACGTGGCAAGGTATAGGTTTATGGAAATGGATTAATTTAAGCTATAAGAACAGTTAGCAAGAAGCCTGCCACGGCCATACAGTTTGTAAGCAATATAAGTCTCTGTGTTTACTTGGTTGGGTCTGAGCGGCTGTGGGACTGGCAGGTGACAGAGATTTGTCCTGACTGTGGGCAAGGCAGGAAAACTCCAGCTACACACACCCCTCCCAGGTGAGGAGCCCAGAGAAGCACAGGAAGTATTGCCCCTAAAAAATGCCAAAGCAGGATTCAGTTACTTCAGACTGATGTAACAGCCAGGTAAATTGGAGGGGTTTTCTCTTGATGAAAGGCTGATCTTTGTCATTCTTTAAAAAAAAATTTTTTAAAGGTATTATACATACGGATGTAGCCGGAAGTTTTCCTGTGTCCCGCAGCTGCTTGGTCCCAAATAAACACACAGAGGCTTATATCAATTACAAACTGTTTGGCCTATGGCTCAGGCTTCTTGCTAGCCAGCTCTTTCATCTTATATTAACCCATTTCTATTAATCTATATATTGCCACGTGGCCATGGCATTACCAGTCTGCTGGCATGTTGCTCTTTGGGCATCAGGCTAGTGTCTCGTCTCTGCCTTTCTTCTTCCCAGCCTTCTCCTAGCCTGGTCACCCCACCTACACATTCTGCCTGGCTACTGGCCAATCAGTGTTTTATTAAACCAATAGGAGTGACATATCTTCACAGTGTACAAGAGCATCATCCCACAGCACATGGGTGCTTTGCCTCATGTATATCTGTGTTCAAATGCATGAAGTGCCTCCAGATGTCAGAAGAGGGCATTGGTCCCCTGGGACTGGAGTTATAGAAAATTGTGAGCTGCCATGCAGGTGCTGGGAATCAAGCCATAGCCCTCTGAAAGAGCAGCCAGTGTGATTAACCACTAAGCCATCATTCCAGCCCCAGGTCCTTTGCATTCTTACAACAAAACTTCCCAGAGGAAAGAGTCTAAGGTTGTACCTGTGGTCCAGACAGGCTGTCATCTGTCCACCTGTGAGCCCATTCCCCTTTCTAGAGTTGCTAGCTGTGCCCAGCTGCCTACAGTCTCCCTTCTGCTCCCTTATGGAGAGGAATGGAGAGGATAGAGGACCTCGATCATCATGCTGCATATCCTCACTTTTCCTTCATGATGCCACAGGCATACTAACAGATAATGAGTTGATGGAGCTGTGTTCTGTCACTTGCCACTTTTCCACATGATGGTCAAAGGATGAAGATTTGCTGATACCTAGGTCAGCTGCTGTGGCTAAACCTCTTTCCAGAACAGGGAATCCAATCTCTGTAAGAGGAGGCATAATGAAATGAGTTCTACAGCTCTTGTGATATGTTTATTGAGCATTTACTGTGTTCCAGACACTGTGTTAATTTGGGCAAATGTTCAACTCCATGTTCTACTGTTTTACAAGGATAAATTATTTCACAGAGAAATGAAGCTGACCCAGGAGGCCAAAGGCATCCAATCACCCTGGAGCTGTAGTTACAGGTGGTTGTGAGCATGTACACACACACACACACACACACACACACACACACACACACCAACAATAGTGAAAAAAATCTCACCTTACAGGCAAATCTAGCTGGTTGGTTTTTTCTCTGAAGTTTTGTAATATTATCAATGATTAAAACTTACTTGTTCTCTGACAAACCCATTTCTTTTGGAAACAAAATTATTTTAG